CTGAGGGAGTGCGGCACTGTCGGAGGGTCAGTGCTGAGGGAGTGCCGCACTGTCGGAGGGTCAGTACTGAGGGAGTGCCGCACTGTCGGAGGGTCAGTGCTGAGGGAGTGCCGCACTTACAGATTGTCAGTGCTTATAACTGCAAAGTTTATAGTTGTGATCTTCCTGATAATATATTAAGCCAACCCTCCACTCTTGAGTGGACAGCATAGACCCCATATCCACTACTTTGAAGAAAAGCAGGGAAATTTTAACCCTGGCCAATGTTTCTACCTGAAACAACAACAACAAACAACAACTTATGGAGATAAGGGTCACTGGACTCAAAATGTTCACCCTGCTTTCATTCCACAGGTACTGCCAGACATGCTGAGTTTCTCCAGAAATATCTCTGTGTGTTTCTGATCTTGAGCATCTGAAGTCCGTTTTTTTCCCACAGCGCAAATGATTTGGTCATTATGACATTTACAGACTGTGGGATGTTAGTGACTCTGGCCCTGCATCCACTGATCTGGTCTGAATCCCAACAGCTGCTGAATTTCAGTGGCCTCTCAGAAAACTGGGCAAATGGTGAGAGATGGTGCTTAATGAGGGAACAGTGCTGCTAATTTGTCTTATACTGTGTTTGAGAGAGGGCTTGGTAAAGATACAGAAATCTTTGATGCTATGAAATATCGTCTTTTATTTAAAGATGGAGAATACTGAGATTGTGAAGATTATGCTTTTCCCATGTCGCTGTTAATAAGTATGTCTTTGGTCTTTAAATCATTTCCTAATGATGATGGAGACCACGTCAGTCACATGTTCACATTAACCTATCATACTACAGCTACACCCCCCCAGGTCAGATTGCATCTCTGATTCACAACGATATCCATCGGTATTATCCCACCAACACAACCCGACTCCCTTCTTGCCATCTCAGAAGAGACTGAGAATTTGTGCTTTCTGCACTTTCTCTCCAACTCCCTTGGGCAGAACAGGAATTATTGGGTGAAGCCAGCTCAGCATGTGACCATCTACCGGGACTTCAGAGGAAGTGGTCAACTTTGTTTCCTCAGTTTCCATCTCCACAAGATAGGACTGTGAATGTAATGTCTTTCTCAAGGACTTGGCTTTGACTGTTTTGATCATGAGTCCATGCTGACTGTCCCCCTGAAGGTCCAGTAAATTGTATGCTCTGTGGTGATTATTGTAATTCTGTATTTGAGTGGGGTGGAGTACTGTGAGCAGTTTTGGTCTCCTTATTTAAAGAAAGATATCATTTCATTTCAGAGAATTTCAGCATTTCAGGGAAGGTTCACTTGGATGATCCCAGGGATGGAGGGATTGCCTTATTAGCAAAGGTTAAACAGGTTGGGACTCTACTCACTGGAGTTTAGAAGAATGGGAGGTGATCCCGTTGAAACATGTTGGATTCTTAAGGGGCTTGACAGGGTCAATGCTGAGAGGGTGTTTCCTCTCATGGAAGAGTCTGGGACCAGAGGGCATAGTCTCAGAATAAAGGGGCACCAATTTAAGACTGGGATTAGCAGGAATTTCTTCTCTCAGAGGGTTGTGAGTCTTTGGAACTCCTTGCCACAGAGAGCTGCGGGGGCAGAGTTCTTGTGTATATTTAAGGCTGATAAAGATTGAGCCAGGAAATGAAAGGGTTACAGGGAAAGGGCAGGAAAGTGGACATGAGGAATGTCGGACCAACCATGATCCTATTGAATGGCACAGCAGGCTTGAGGGGCTGAATGGCCTACTTCTGTTCCTATTGCTAATAGTCTTATCCTCTAGTGGCTTTCAATCCTCTTTCTCCACCACACAAGACGGTGATGAAGGTAATGGTTTTCCTGGCAGCTGCCGATATGTGATAAGAAGGACAAGGGCAGCAGATACATGGGAACACCACCCCCTGCAAGTTCCCCTCCAAACCACTCACCATCCTGATTTGGAAATATATCACCATTCCTTCAGTGTTGCCAGGTCAGAATCCTGGAATTCCCTCCCTTAGGGCATTGTGGGTCAACCCACAGCACATGGACTGCAGCGGTTCAAGAAGGCAGCTCACCCCCACCTTCTCAAGGGCAATCAGGAACAGCAATAAATGCTGGCCCAGCCAGCAATGCCCTCATCCATGATTTATAAAAAAGCTACCTGGTGAAATAATTGCCATTTACTAAGTGGAACTTACTGACCTAGAGAGACAAATGGCAGGGCAACAAGCAGGTTTAATATAGAAAAACAGTTACATTCCAAAAGAAGGGCAATTTAATTTTTGGAAGTCTCCAAGCCAGCAGAGCTGGAAATAAGCCTTAAGCTGTTTTAGCTGTCCAAAGAGATACTGCTGGAAAAAAACCCCACAGAGTTTGTTCTGGTTCATTGAGAAAAGGTCAGTGAGATCGCCTGTCTGTGCGTCTCATGGAGAAACAGAGAGAATCACTTTCTGGTGAGCAGAAAGTCACCAAAGGGAAATACTTGCAACCTTGTTCATGCAATAAGAAAATTTAAAGTAAGGTAGGAGTTATAACAGACCAGGATTGAGTGTCCATAAAGGGTATTGCTGGCAAAATGGGTTACACTTTGTTTATGGTAATATCTTTCAAAATAGTCTTATATAGAGATCTGTGGCTTTTTGTGTGTGATAAACTTATGTTCATCTGTTAAAATTATGTTGAGAGCTTTGTGTGACTCTGCTCAGTGACTGACCACTAAGAAAACTAAATTTTGAAAACAAAAACTTATTGTCTATGAGGAAAGATTTCACTCTGGAATCTGACATGCCCATATTACCCATCAGCTGGGATCATAAACACGTGTTACTGACACTTAGGGTATACTTCTGTAGGGATTATAAACTAATGAGCGATCAGGTACTAGAATGTAATCTAGCTAATACTCGGCCAAATCCTGGAAGATTTGTTTATTTTGATTCTAGGATGCCAGATGTTTTCAAAATGAGATCTGACAAATGCCTAACTCCAGTTTGAGAAATTAAAGACATATTTGACTATGAATACAGACAGTCCTTGGGTTGTGAACGTGTTCCATTCTGGAGTCAATTCACATGTTGATTGTACACTGTCAGAACATAATGCAGGACCATATAAAGGCGCTGTTTGTATGTACTGGAAATGTTTATATGTTGGGTCTTTAAAATTACACCCCTGTATGGAATTGTGTTCATTAGTATGAGTATTTGCAAGGTGGACATTCGTAATTCTGGGTTTCCCTGTACCCACATGGATCAATGTCAGTTACATAGCCTGCCATTTGGTGCTCCTTCAGCACCCAGAAGGTTTTCAGGGACAATGAACCCAACTTTGCAAGGAATTCAGGGAGCAGTTTGTTTTTGGATCACGCACTTATTCCAGGTTCAAGTGTGCACACCCCTGATGACAGGTTGAAATAGTTGCTCCAAAGTTTGTAAAAGCACAGAGTTCAAGAGAAGACCAAGAGATGTGAAGCATTTCAAAATCCTGTGAAATGTTTGGATCACAGTCAAAGATTGGTGACATCCTTCCCAAAGGGTAGCCCGAACAATAAGAAAACATGCCACACCCTCGGACTAGTCCTGAGCTCAGATCTTATTTACATCTTGTGAATTATTACAGTGTAAATTCAGACCAGACCTTAAAACCATATTGAACAAATACCTGAGGAAGGACATCCCATGGTTTTGGAGAAAGAAGAGTGACAAAATATTCACATTATTAAAAAAAAACCGATTTTAAGATGATCTGATGCTTACAACTTGTGAGATGCCCTAAAATATTAAGCTAACATGTGATGCCACTCAATACAGATTAGTTTGTTGTTGGATATTGGTGCAGAGAGATTAATTGTGTTTTCTTCATTCACCTGAGGGCCAGTGAGTGAAATTACACTCAGGTAGAATGTGAAGCATTATCTTTGATTTTTACTGTGAGAAGACTTCATTAACATTGGAATGAGGTACAACACACTGGACTTCCACCAGATCACTCTGTTTTGACTGGAGCACATGGACTAGTTGTAAAATGTGCTCATGTTAAACAAATGCATGATACTGGAAGAAATATCATTGAATCACAAACTGGTACATTTTATGTTTATTTATTGTTACACACCTCACACAACTCAGAAGATGGTCTAGAATGAGATTTTCATGGCTAAAGCCACATCCAGCACAATCAGTAGAAAAGAGAAATGGATCCAAACAGAAAGAGAGTCACAACAGGAGTAAAGTGACAGAAAGAAGACTGATGGTGTACCAAAAGGGTAAGGTGAAAGACCATCAGCAAAAGCCATTAAAATAACTAAAGGTTATTAAGGTGACTACAAGGAATGTTCATTAACATGGTCCTTGCATGTATTTTGTCAAGATGTTTGGAAGCAGAAAGGTTAGGTTTGTACATGTAGATCATGTTTGACTTTAGAGATTTAAGAAGGAATGAGTTGGGAGGAATTATATTAATTGGATAGTTAGAATGTCAGTAGCATGTTAGTAGAGTCAGTCCAGCACAAGCTGTGCCTGAAAGCAGTTCAGATCCAAATCTAATGAAAGGGGAAATTCACTTGGAGGTCAAGGTCAAAATCAATCCTTATTGGACGAAAGTCCTCCTCAGTCTCAGGTCAAGACATGTCGAGGTCCTTCCTAAAGTTTTGAAAGTTTGAGACAAGGAAGGAGGTAGCCCCTTAGGAACAGAAGTGGTTATTGCTAAATTTGTAAAACATCAGAAACAACAGATGTACATAAATTTTGAAGATTGTGTAACATATTCATTAAGGATGGAGGAGTGTAATGGTATCTCTTCAGACTCATTGGATACATCATGGTTGAGGTCTGTGTCGATTGTGCAGGAGCTGCACAGTGTTTTATTAAGCCCTGCAGCAATATCATTGTACCTGCACCACACAGCCTGCAGCAGTTCAAAAGGGTAACTCACCACCACCTTATTAAGGGTAACTAGGGATGAGCAACAAACATTGGCCCAGCCCATGATGACCACAACCATGAATAAATTTTTAAAAAGCTATTGTAATGTTAGAAGCGCAGCAATCAATTTATACATTGTAAGATCCCACACTCAGTAGTGTGTTATATGCCCAGATAATCTGTACTTGGTTGAGGGTTAAATATTGACCCAGGACACAAACTGGGCAGTGCTTTTATATTATATTATAGCACTGCGCTCCTTACCCAACTGTGAATCTTCATGTGTGGTTCTGGTCGCTGAGATTCAGAAGGCTATCTCACATTGAGGATATCACAGGCACAGCTCACACTCACACGCTCCAGCTACAGGCAACTTGAAACAGCAGGACTGGTGGGCAAGCACTGTCCCAATTATACCCACATTGACACAGACCCAGCCACAGGACCTGGGAATAGGGGTATGGGTGGGTTGGAGGTTGTGGGAGCAAGGGATCTGCCTGGGCTCTGGGTCCCTCCCTGAGTACAGACTGCCCCATTACCCCTATAGCTCCCAGTACAAACTTTCACTCTGATTCAATTCCTAATTCAGGAATTTGTTTGGTTTGTTTCAGGTACGGACAGATGACAGCAGGAAGCTACTGTTACATTGGCCCACAGGGGATTGTGCATGGCACTGTGGTAATATTGCTACTTCTTCACATTCACATTCCTGACAAAGCATTTGGACAACTCTCCAAATACTTCCTTAAGTGGTTTGGTGGGAGACTGTATTTGATAATTATTCCTAGAAAGCACTTTGAAACCCTTCCTGGGCACCATATAGATCCTGCTAAATTTGGTGTAACTTTGTTCTGTCGAGGGGGGTCAGTTAGCTCAGTTGGTGAGCTCGCTAACGTGTGGGGCAGAATAAAGCTAACAGTGGGGGTTCAATCCCCTATAACAGCTACAGTAGCTCACAGAAACCCTGCCTCCTCACCTTACCCCAAGATTGTGGAGTGGTTACCCCTGAGCTATACATAGTTTAGAGAGACGACTAAAGAGAGAGAGAGATATATACAAGAGAGATGACTAAAGAGAGTGAGAGATATACAAGAGAGATGACTAAAGAGAGAGAGATATATACAAG